GGCAGCCATTTATGAAAGTGGTCTATAGTCAATGGATTCTGCACTGAAATGGGCAATTTCTTATACCAATTCATTTTATACGTGTAGCTTCCCAATAGCAGGAGTCCTTTTAGACAGTTTCGACTTTCTTAATCCTATGAGGCTAGAAAGAACTAAGTATCAGAATAATCCTACAATGACGTGTATAGGTTTCGACAAATCCTTCTCAAATGCTACTAAGCTGATTTACATCATCTCGGCTTCGTTTACGCGGCAAAAACACCTCTCTTGTCCCTTCACTGCTGGGCGAGTAACACCGAGTTCGTTTGATCTGTCTTTGAGATCGCGTGCTTCTAGATTCTTTAGAATCACTTTCACCCCTGTCAGTTGTTGCACCGCTATCTTCACGATAGCGCATTCTAGAATGCCTGAACTGGCTTACAGATTGACCACTCACACGTCTTTCATCTTTCCGAGGTCGTCCTCTTCTCCGGGGTTTATCAACATCAGATACACTTCGAACTTTTTTACTCTCAGAGGAAGGTTTTCTCTTCTTGCCACCATGCCTTCGTTTATGAGAACTTGTGCGTTCTTCTTTGGTGGTTTCACCCTCTGATGTTTCACTTTCACCTTCCTTTGTGCTTCTCCGTGAACTGATCCTTGTCGAGCGGCGCCTTGGTGCTGAATCAGAATTCTGCTCACTCTGGAACACGCTTTCCCTTTCTGTGTCACCCTCATCTTCCAGTTCTCTCTTTTCTGTCATCTTCTTTGTTTCCTCTGCCTCCTCCCCCTCATCATCATCGTCGTCAAATGACGACAAGTCACTTGTATGAACAGAAGACACTTCTGATATGTCTGATGCACCATCTGAATATTCGCCCATGGACGATGGCTGAGCAGAGTCTACTCCCAGACTTACCATAGAGGATGCTGCTAGATTTGAATCGCCCAGAACATTGTATCCCTCTTTCTGTGTGAACAGGAGCTCCGGGCTTTCCTCTAACAGATTCTGTCTCCGCATCTCGTGACTGGAAGTGTCCACCTTAGAGGCATCTGATCTTGTCTCTGATGAGAACTCTTTGGAAGCGTTGTCAATTTCACCATCATTTAATGAAGACTGAGAAATGATTACCGTGTTCATTATATTTTTGAAAGAATCAGCTGGGTTTCTCTCTTCACTTTCAGAACCAATAGCTGCGGACATCTTTTCAGAAAATAGCATCATAGGTTCGCATTTTTCCACGCTTTC